TTGGAGTCCAGGGGGGACCAGGACCAGAGGGTTCTGGGTTGGAGTCCCGGGGTAACCGGGACCAGAGGGTTTTGGGTTATAGTCCCGGGGGAACCAGGACCAGAGGGTTCTGGGTTCTAGTCCCCGGGGGAACCAGGACCAGAGGGTTCTGGGTTGGAGTCCCGGGGGAACAAGGACCAGAGGGTTCTGGGTTCTAGTCCCCGGGGGAACCAGGACCAGAGGGTTCTGGGTTGGAGTCCCGGGGGAACCAGGACCAGAGGGTTCTGGGTTGGAGTCCCCGGGGGAACCAGGACCAGAGGGTTCTGGGTTGGAGTCCCGGGGGAACCAGGACCTTTCTGGGTGGAGTCTGCATGTTCTCTTGTGTCTGTGGGTTCTCTCCGGGTTCTCCGGCTTCCTCCCACCCTCCAAAAACCTGCATGTTAGGTTGTTGGACTCCAAACTGCCCTTAGTGCGAGTGTGTGTGGTTGTTGGTCCTTGTGTGTCTCTGTGTGTCCCTGTGATGGACTGGGGACCGTCCAGGGTGACCCCGCCTCTCCCCATTGGCTATTGGGATAGGCTCCAGTCCCCCAGTGACCCCAATAGGGAACAAGAGGTTACAATAATGGATGGATGGATGGATGGAAAAAACAAGGACCTGGCGACCACTGCGGAGATGACCGCTCCCACCGTGGCGGGGTCACAGCCCCTGCTGTCGTCGGACACCCAGACGGCCCCCAGACAGGCCCACACCAGCTCTGGGATGTAGAGCAGAACTCGCAGGTACACCAGCGAAGGCATGGAACGCCTCGGCCCGGGATTGGTAATGGTACCTGAGGGACAAGCAGAGGCTTCTGAGAAACCCACAAACAGCAGAGGTCTGATAAGCTCCATAAGAGCAGAAGGCAAAAACGAGGAAGAAGACGACATTCTGGAGGCTGTAAATGATGCTGCTGCATGTCAGACAGGAGCTTTTGTGACGACATTTTTTAAATTAAAACAATTTAGCTCCATGTTCAAATTCTGAGTTATGTGTTCTCCAACAACTTTACCAATTGTCTGTGTCTTAAATCCCTACATTTATTAACAATTTATCTAAAGCCCCCAGTTCATGAGTTGTGAGAGATCATACAGGGCCTGCTGGGGCTATTATGGTGGAATACTTTACCATTAAAAGACTCAGGGAGTCACTGATAGGTGGGGCAAGAGAAGGACAGACTTAAATATAAAAATAGTACCCATTAAAGGGGAAAGTGGGGCCATACAAGCTCTCATCACAGCTCAACAGCCACAACGTCCCAATGTTGCACACTCAAACAGCCCCAAGAAATGTACACAAGTTGTGCTGAGGCACAAAAAGCATTCTCCTTATAGAACATGTTAAAAAGGAGGGCCAATCAAACGGTTTCCCACCCTTTTCTGAAGTCTGTGCAAAGGGGCATGAGTCATGCACTCTTCCTGCTTTTCTTTTTGCACCATATCCTGTCCTGTAACACGCAACAGCTCCTTCATCCCTCCATTTCCACCCGGCTGACCCCTCCCACACCTTAGTTCTTAGTTTAAGTTTAGTCTACTGTCACACTTAATTTTATCCTTGCTTCTACTATTTTTACTCTTCATTTTTAACCCTTTTTTTGTTGATTCTCTATACATGTTGCATGTTTTGCACCACGACCACTTCAGATTTCTTGTATGTAAAAATACTTGTCAATAAACCAAATCCTCATGTTATTAAGAAGCAAATTTTATGTGATCACAAGAGAACCACAGTTACCTTGAGCACTGACATAGACGATGGCACAGAGGGAGAGGATGATGAGAGCCAGCACCACCAACAGCCCGACCAGGTAGCTGTGCAGGACTCCCCTGCCATTACAGTCAAAGCTCCCCTTGTGATATGTGAACAAGATCATGGTGCCGAGCCACCTGGGGAGGAATCATAGTAGAATTAGTTACGACTATGGCAGGAGAGATTTCTGTACAAACCACAGAGGTAAACAGGGTACCAGAGCAGGCGGAGCATCAGCTCAAAGGAGCCGGGGAAGACCAGGTCGTCACTGGCGATCCCCCAGCGGCGTCCGAACACCACCAGCCCGGGCATTGTGCAGCTCAGCACGTCGATATTCCTCAGTGGGATTAAGTGGGTTCTTTCAAGGCTACGACCTGGGCTGGGACTGTCTTATCAGCAGACGCTGGGCGCCAGACATGGCTTCACGGGCAGAAGTAGCACCCACACCGACCCGCAACAGCCATCCCCCGGTATCGTCACGTTAACTTTCCCCTGTTGCACAATTACCTCGAATCATTTCCGCTAGCTTATGGTTTATTCCAAGACAGGCGCCTATTTGCTAACGTGTTCAAACGTAACCCGGACCAGACAACCCGGGTGTAAGACTATGAAGTAATTTAAGACTGAGGCTAGCCACCTGCTAGTTCAACAGGGTTAACGACAGAACATCCACACCCCTGCCGCTAATGATTAGCTTACAACCTTTGGTACCTTGCTAAAAGAAAAAATACATCTATTGATATTCCAGAAAAAAATTAAATCCCTGAACTGATAAACAGGTCTCCTTTTAAACCAGTCGTGTATCTACACATTCTCAAATATAGCATTGCTTCCAACGTCAAACACATAGAGACTCTGTTTTGTTTTTCTTAGGCTGTTGCAGAGTCCGCCCCTAAATTCAACCCAACTGCAACAGCGGTATAAAAGAAGAGTTCCGGTCATGCTCCAAAGTCCGGATGCCGTCTTCCAACGTGGGAGCTTTGCTGTCCATAACACCACAATAAGATTATTTTTTTCCACAATTTACACTAACCTGTTTCTTAGGGACGTAATAAAACAAATAAAATCTAAAACTACATATTTCATTAATCACAACTTGAAAAGCCCTTTTTATTTAGCAGTGCACAGAAAGCAGGTATTGATCAAGAACTTGTGAATGACATCACCGTGTTCAGTTACTGACATGATCGGGAATTATCTGTTAGCCTCTGAACACACTTCGCTTGTTCATAACTGTTCCTTTGTAATTCTTGAGTTGTCTATATTCTGGTACATTTTTTAAATATTGTTTGGCTGCCTTGTGTTTACTTACCTCACTGACTGTGGATCGTACATTTCGTTCCTTCAACTATCTCACAAAGTTTTCGATCAAATCTAAAACGTCATTTGATCAAAGTTTGTGCTGGTTTATCATTATTTAAGGGTGGTTGTAAATGGTGTCTTGATTTCCGTCATATTGCCCTTTGGGGAATGTTTAAAAAGGAAAGATTTCTCTCGCACGTCCAAGTGGTTCCATGGTGTAATGGTTAGCACTCTGGACTCTGAATCCAGCGATCCGAGTTCAAATCTCGGTGGAACCTAACGTTTTTCCCACTCTACACATTGTGTTATTACTTTTATGTTTCCTTAAAGTTGTAAAAACTGCAGTATGTACACTCGAAGCATACACTTATATTCTTATTTAATATTGGCATTAAAACGTAGTGGGACTGAATGTGACTTCTCTCCTCAGTGTAACGTCATTCCAAAATGGCGGCGAGCATTGCACAGCGTTTGTATTTATTTCATGTTAGAACAGGGATACACATGTTCCCAAATCTTCGCGAAATCAGGAGTGTCAGTTTACCATTTTTTAACAGCCTCATATCGTCACGGGTTTGTTTTGGGACCCGTGGTACAGATATCCCAGAGGTAAGTGAAACAAACAGCAACAAATACAAAAGCAGTGTGAAAAAAGCCGAGTCCAATATTCAGAAAAACACCCCCCTAGCACGTTTGTGTTTATGTATTTTTGACTAAGTTATCTCTAAAATAGACGGAATCTCTGAAATAAATAAAAAACGTTGGCTGTATATTCAGAAAATATGTTTAATCCAAAAATCACTTTGTTTTGACTTTTACAGGAAACCCAAGTGCACATTCCAATAGGTAACCCAAATATATTTAAAATGGGATTTGGTAAATCCTGCTTGTATTTCATGTGAAAATCTTGTTGTTGTGGGTTGCAGAGCGTCTGACAGTGTCCTACAGCAGGAGCAGTGGACCCGGCGGGCAGCATGTCAACAAAGGTAAGAATGGATATGTAGCTCCATCTCTCTTATTCTGTCAGGTCATGATTGTGCTCACTGGATTTACTTACTTTAGCTTCTTTGGATTTATGTTCAGTTTGTCTGCATAAAAATCGTTTTTCTTTCTGCTGTTTTTTTGACGTTTTGATGCTTTCTGTGTGCTTCCTGATAAGAAGATTCCCATTTCCTTGGTTCCTGCTCTACATTTTACAAAGAGAAGACCAGAAACTACCTCTTTTGCCACATTCTAAGATGAATTTCTTTCACGATTTTCTTGACTCTAATAAAGAGAAATGCAATTTCCTCGGGATGAATTAATTATCTCTAATTTAATTTCATTTGATCCGGTCTTAATTTTGCTCATTTTTCTATTACAGCTTTCTCACTGTGAGTGTGTGACCAGTTCCTCGATTTTCTATAATATTTTCATTTCTACTTGTGCACACACAAACAAGTTTTATTCTATATTTGATCCAGCCTATATCAAGTAGTATCCTTAGCAAAGCTGAAAAGTTATTTTGCTAAAGTAAATCATGTTCTATGAACCAAAACACTTGAATAAACACCTTCCAATATTGGTTTTGGAATGTTTTACAGAGGTTGGAGATCCTCATTGATACGGAAACTGTGTTGAAGTTTTTGTTTTCCATCCACAGTAAGCACAAAAGCAGAAGTCCGATTCCATCTGCACACGGCAGACTGGATCCCCGAGGAGGTTCGGCTAAAAATCCTCCAAAAGGTCAGGTCCACTCATTCCTTTTTTTTATCTATTTTGATGTTTTCTTAATCCTTGTATCTGTGTGTTCTGATTTTCTTATCTCATCCTCACACGTGGTAGAATAAAAACCGTATCAATAAGGCCGGGGAGCTGCTGGTGACCTCTGAGATGAGCAGGAGTCAGCAGCGGAACCTGTCGGACTGCATACAGAAGATCTCCGCCATCGTAGCCGAGGCCAGCCAGAAGCCCCCCGAACCCACAGCCGAAGACGTGGCTCTGAGAGAGCAAAGGTCAGCGCCCAGAAACACGGCTGCTCTCAGTCCAGCGCCATCAGAAGTGGGTCTGATGTGAAATGTGTCCTGCAGGTTGCAGAAGAGGAACAGGGAGCGACTCAGACAGAAGAAAATCCAGTCAGTCGTCAAAAGCAGCAGACGAGTGGATTTTGACTGACTAATGTTTGTGGATTTCATAATTTATATTTTTGTGGCTCATAACTTATTTAATGACCGCCTTTAATGCTCTGTTGAATAAAAAATCAACCAATAAAAGTGAAACTTCAGGTTAACTGATTGTGGGTTTATTTTTTAGCGGAAATCCCTTCACCCCGACACCACATCACATAAAACATGGATCTGCTATTGAAAATGAATTAATGCGAGTAAGAAATGTAAAGCAACTTAATTTAAGTCCAAATTGTTGTGATTAAGTTAATATGTGATGTGTGTGGGAAGTAAAAAAAATAAAAAATATTCGTGTAAGCGGAAAGAAGAAAAGATAGCAGAGGATGGTTTCGATCCATCGACCTCTGGGTTATGGGCCCAGCACGCTTCCGCTGCGCCACTCTGCTGTATGGATGCCGGGATGTGAGAGGGCATAATAAACCCTCCCCCACACATACTGAGCTCCTCTGTCTGTATAAAACTTTACGTAGAAAGAAGCTGACCCTACTCTGGTTGAAAGCTCATTTTGTTTAAGAACAAACCGTGTAGCAAATCCGCCCAAACAATGGTGAAGTGTACTGATGATTAAGATGTATTCTTGTACAGCCGTATGTTTCTGCACGGGAATCCTTCATGAAACACCGTAAAAGCTATAGACAGACACAACAAAATCAGCTCTTACAAATAAAGTTTTATCCATAGAATAATCCAAAAGATGCTAAAGTCTGAATTAACGGTCATTTAAACATTAGCGTAGAAAATAAATAATCATTTAAGTCAGCTTAACACACATTAGTCCACAGTAAACATATGGTTTTAGCAAGGTGCCTAATAAATGTGAGGTATTTTTTCTATCCTTTACAGACAGACATAAATACATAGACGCCGCATTGAGGGCTGAATCGTACCTG